AATTACTTTTGAAAATAAGTAATCAGTAAAGTAACGGGATTACTTTTTTGGGGAAGTAATCGGTAATCAGTTACTGATTACTTTTTTCAAGTAACTTGACCAACACTGGTGGCAACTATTTTCTCAGGAATTTTAATAAAGTAAACAGTGCTAAGCATCAACATCACCTTTCAGGTCATTCTGAACAGAGTACATGCTGTAAAAAGTGACTGAACCACTGTGTGAATGACAACCTGCAGTCAGTGACTTTGAAGGGATGCAAATGGAGTAGCTGAGTCTCAATAAAAGCATAAAAACCCAGCTCTACTCTAATAACACTAGCTGATGTTTCTAAAGTAAAAATGAAATTGGTTTTTTTTGTTTGTTTTTTTTAAAAACAGCACAGGACACAGGTTTTCTTTACGTTTTGAAAGGTTTTTGTACACATAAATTTGTTATTTTGTCACAACATAACCAAGCAAATGAAGACACTGTGACAGGTTAAAAAAACAGAGCTCCTTAATTACCTAATGTAACATGTGCCACATACAATAAATATATCAAAATGCTATAAAAATCAGCCATGGCCATAATCTTGTGTGCTCACAATGGTAATCAGAATGGTGTTTAAATGCTTCCAAGGCTTCTTGAACTCTGGCTTGTACAATTACCGCATGTGACTATAAAACATGCAACTTCCAAAATGTTTCTTTAGCAAGACTTTTGGCTATTGTAAAACTAAACAAACTAAAATACACAATAGTTTCCTCTGATAAATGTAGGCACACAAACATGCAACTTCCACCAAGTCAAACTGAGTAGCAGCCACAGATAGTACTGTTTTTTTCCTGCTGTACAAAGGAAGACAAATCTCTACATGAAGGCTAAAAATGACATGTTATATGTTTCTTAAGAAAAAAGTCATGAATCAGTACAACAACATATTTACTTGTATTTGCCCATTCCTAAAAGCAAATAAGGGACAATTCAAATCCCATCAATTCTTCAGTGCATCTTCAGGATTTAAAAATCCAATTCGATTTCATTTTAAAATGTTATCCTGCAAAATACGGGAAACAATGTAGAGTAAATAAACACTATCAGAAAATATATTATGTTCATAAAAATGTTTCACTGGTAACACAAAACAGAGACATAAACTAATGGTACAATCCTAAGAAGGGGATAACTAACTTCTCCATTACATGTTTTCAGGTTACATAACAGTTTAACCTTATTACATGACATGTCCCAGCATTAGAATGGTTTATTAATTTTATTCCTTAAAGTCAGATGATCTAAGTAGGATATGATGTTTGGCATAATTCCACATTTGATCTAATAATATCTAACAGCAGCAAGCTCATTCAACTGTAGCTTACACTGCTGACCTTATTGGTTGGGTCATGCTATCTAAATACTTCTTTTCCTGAGATCACCAACATTTTTCTACGTCAACTCAGACTTTGTTATTTCAACAGAACAGACTAATCAAAGTGAAGTCCAAACACTGACTTATAGCAACCACAGGACAAGAGACTCCCTGGAGATACACTTCATGATACTGCTCAGTTATTGTCATTAGCATTAGCAATTAACATACAGAGACACTATAAAACACTACAACTCACAAATGATCTAGACTGTTTTTCATCAGAAAAAAAAGTGCCAACTTACCCTTGTTGAAGCAGTTAGAGCAAATACTGATCCATACGGAACTGACAAATTAACCACAAAGCCAGCCGCTTGTCACTACTCCACAGCAGACAGAAAACGTTGCGTATGAATTGACCCAAAAGTAGCCCTCTCTAGCTAAGTACCATGTTAATATATACATACATATAAACATAAACAGTTGCTGTTTAGATAGGAAGCTAGCAAGTACTAATTACTTTTACAGAAAAAATGGATCAGCAGAAGACAGCAGCACCATTTCAACCATATCTTAGAAAGAAACAAACAGGTGGACTAGCATTTGTGTACTTTATCCGGGGGTTAAAAACCTTTAACCAATGCAAGACATAATTAAAGAAGATTAATTATGTCTGCAAGTTTGCAAGCATTCCGAGTTATTACGGCTGTTTTAGGGTTGATAACAGTGTATTTCTTATACCTTTTCTAAAATTTCTTTCCTTTCTCGTATGTCTTTCTACCAGCAACCTCTATAAATTTAAGAGGGTCATTTTTAGACAGCAGGTAACAAATGGAATGTTAGTAGTTATTTGCAGCCAGCTTACATTATTAAAAATGTATAAGGAATGTGACTACTTTTCAAAATTGAAACACAAGACGTTAATGTTTAAACATTTTTTTCTTAAGAAGACATTTTGATTTTCTTTACCATTTCAAAAACTACATTTTTT